ATAAGCTGAAAGAGGGGAGATGGAGATGAGATGTGAGGAAGAAATGTTTTCCTGTGCGGGGGGTGAGGCAGTGGCCCAGGTTGCCCAGAGAAGCTGTGGATGCCCCATCCCTGGAGGGGTGCAAGGCCAGGCTGGATGAGGCTTTGAGCACCCTGGGACAGTGGGAGGTGTCCCTGCCCATGGCAGGGGGTGGAACTGGATGGTCTCTAAGGTCCCTTCTAACCCAAACCATTCTGTGATTCTGTGATCTGAAGTTCATAGGGAAATCCTGTTTGCTGGTTGCAGACGGTAATTACGATGTCAAGAGAAGAGATCTGAGAATATTTTATGAAGTTAGCCTTCTCCAGGATGGGAACACGACAAGAGCAGGTGTCATTGATAGCTTCTGTCAATGTCAGGAAAATGATATTTGTGGATTTTTTTGGTCTGATTCAGCAAAACCGTTCTTCTGCAGCTCATCTGCTCTGTCTGGTGGCTACGGCTAGAGGAGGTATTTGGTGTGGGTGGGGAAGTAGTAGTTGTATACTAATTCACCTTTAAAAAGGACAAAAGAATACCTTCCACAACTAAATCTTCTCAATCCATATGCCTATTCTAGAGAAAGTGTGAGTTCCTGTTGCAGTTAATTCCTGCCCTAGGTATTGGAGGAAGGAATGTCTTTTGGAGTGGCGGTGCTGAGGTTGTGTTTGCCAGGTATGCTGTTTAACGGTGAATACTTCAGCATTTAGTAAAGCTGAGGCATGATGCATACCAAGAAGTAGTGTAGGTGTACGTAGAGTTTAAAAAAACACTAGTTAACCCGAAGTCAGAAATACCTAGGCAGTTGAGGATTGCTTTTCCTCAGTCTTGCCTGTGAACTGACTCCAAGACATCAGTGAAGTTTGTGAAGGGTTCAGATGACGTGGTTTCCTTTAAAGGCTCTAACCAGCAGACATGTTGCCGCAGCTTATCAAGTTTCTGCGTGAAAGCCAAGCCACAGGAACGTAACTGCTAGCCTTAGGAGGCAGTCAGACTAACAGAAATGAGTCCTGCTCAGCTTTGCTCTGAGTTCCGAGGGGGTTAGGCTTAGTTGTATTATCTTCCATTTGCTTTCAGCTCAGAACATCCACCCAGACAGTTCCCACGACTCAGCTGACAGTCATTTAATTACAATCCCAAACCAGTTTCTCTCTGCTGCTTAAGGGAATCCTAGGTCAGGAGTCAAAAAGTCTGGCAAAGCCCAGTCAACACTTTTCTGTTCTGTTCTGCGCTAAAATATTCAGGATGTTTCTGGCAGGGGAGGTCCCTGAGTGTACCTGAGTGAACCAGGCAGAGATGCTGCAGCTGGACTGTGAGTGTGTCAGGGACTCGCACAAAGAAAACCAAGCCATGGTTGGATGAAGGTTGGGTAGGATCTGATGGTGTAGGAGTGGGAGAGCCCTATTTGTTAACATTCCGGGAAAGACTTGTATGAGCACGTTAGAGAAGGTGTAGTCTTCCAAGTCACTTGTCTTGAGGATATTATTTGCTTTGCAGAAAGAGGTGATGTGCCCGTCTATAAGGCACAACAGTTTAACGGGGAATATGATTCTTCATACTAATAAGGGGATAAATATTCTGCTGTTCTGTGTTTTTGGGCTTCAGTGTAGTAGATGGTCATGTTAATGTAATATCATGAACTCCAAACTTTGCTTCCTGAGCAAACTTACATTGTGATTGTCTATATGTATCTGATGACGGTACGTACTTCAGAGCATCTAGAGAAAATACGCTTTGTGTGCGCCAGTTGTTTAAAATGGGTGCTTTACGCGGGGAAGTCATACTAGCTCTGCTGTATAACCTGAACTTGTTTGTTTTCTGTTTTAAAAAAAAAAAAAATCCACAGAAAGGGCTTCATTTAGGAGCCTAAACCTTCATGCGGAGTCTGTCAAAGGTTTCAACATGGGACGAGCCATCAGCACTGGTAGCCTGGCCAGCAGCACTTTGAACCGACTTGCCGTTAGACCTCTGTCCGTTCAAGCAGAGATTCTGAAGAGGCTGTCCTGCTCCGAGCTCTCACTCTTTCAACCGCTTCCTGGCCCTTCAAAGGACAAGAATGAGAAGACTCCATGGGAGGAAAGACCCAGGGTTATGAGCAAGTCATTTCACGATCTGAGTCAGAGCCACATCTCGGTTTACCCCCCAAGGAAAAATGTTACTGCTTTGGACTCTTCCCCCCAAAAAATAGAAGAGGTAATGGGCCGAGTCTTTCAGCAAATGCCAAAATTTGATACTGGACCAGCAGCGGGAGCGTTAAAACTGAGCAAGTAAGAGTCTCTCTGACCGCCCTGCGATATCTTTGTGTACAGTCAATGTACATTTTGCATCAGTTTTGATTTATTATTCATACCATGATTTTATTACATTGATCCTTCCCTCTCCCAACTTCTTCTTCCCTCTGTCTGGTTCCCCTTCTCTCCTTCTCCCCTTTAAGTTCAAAATCTCATGCAGGTTTAAGTAGAAGCCCTGAAAGAAAGAAAAATGAATCCGACTCATCATCCATTGAAGATACCGGTCAAGCCTATGTTGTAGGTCAGCTTGCAAAAAATATTATTACTATATTTACTTACTAACCTCTCAGATTGCTTTGGGTATAGCAGTTTGGTGTATTTATTAACTGATGGTAATATTTTGATTTGAAAAAGGGAACAGAGTATCAAATATTAAAGTAATCCAGGTCAATTACCTTTTGTTCCTGTATAATTGTTGCAGTGAATCAAAAAAATCCTCTTTGGACATACCAGTTTGTACACCAGTGTGCAAACTATTAGTTCTCGACAGTAAAAGCTGTTCCAGAAAATGTCTTACAGCTTGTCACGTCAGCGTGCCATTTTATTGTATGGATCTTTTAATAATTTGCTAGTCTACACAATCTGTTTGTCAAGCTTGAACTTTCTTAAAGTGTTCTCAGAGGAAAGGGTGATGGGAGCAATTTTTGGAAGTGGACTCAGTTTGGCATAAGCTGGCTCTTGGCTAGTACCTCTAAGCAGGAACTGCACAGTTCTTTTGGTTTGGTCTCACTTGGATATAATAAATTAGGTACAATTTTGCAGTGCATTGGCTGTTTCACAAAAAATACTCTTGTAACGAGCTAAGCTAGATGTACTTACTCCATTTTCTTGGTGAGGGTTGGATTGCACACAAATAGTCTTAGTGGGCAGCAAAAATACAGACTTCACATAAAATTTAAAAAAAGTTTCAGAGCAGCTGAATAGACTTAAACTTGCACATTGGGTAATTGTACATTAATTTTTAATATCTGTGTCATCAGTTTCTGGTTATAGGAGGTTCCCTTTTACAATAAAGGAAACTCCAATGACTGAAGCATTTGCAGCCTTCGCTTGCTTTTATTGCTTTGCTTTTTCTTAATATTAAAATATTAATGTTATCATGTGCTTACCCATAATCTTCTGGGCAGCGATTCTGGTAAGGATCTTAGCTACACGTCGGAGAGTCGTGCTGCATCGCATTCCCTGTGCTGGGGGACACACATGCTTTGCATGATGAAATTCATGAGCTGGAAGTTCAGGGTTCAGAGGTTTGGAAAAGGCCAGGACTGCTTTGCTAAGAAGCTGGAATTATCTTACTCCCATAACTTAGTACATGTATTATTTTATCCTCTTTAAAGTATGGCCGTATTTGCTTGGCATTGATCATTACAAAGAAAATTCTGTATGCAAACCAATTGAAATAGAAAAACTTGGTTCAAATTACTTTGTACTGCACCAACTTATTTGTTACCGTACAAAAACTTACAGGACTCCTGCTGTGTTGGTTTATGAAGTTAGACAGATGAATTTTAGCTGAAGTTAACAGTGGCTGTAAAGGCCAAATGTCTGTCCTTTAATTCTTTGCCTTTGCATGAGCTGCCATCTGTCTGAACCTTCAGCTACCACCAAAGTATCTAAGTAATTCGGATTTTCTAATTCAAACGCTTTAGTGTTTATGTATTTGTAAAATAAGTAGGTAGTCTGATATTGTGAATGAGCTAGTGTATACCGTGTAAAGTCTCAAATAGTTCTTGGTAGTTTTCTCATTTAAAAAAATAGGTAAGAGTGTCTAATATTTGCGTTTGTGTTGCAGGAGTTAGCGTGAATACTTCTAGTTCTTGGTAGTTTTCTCATTTAAAAAAACAGGTAAGAGTGTCTAATATTTGCATTTGTGTTGCAGGAGTTAGCATGAATACTTCCGGAAATCTTCCATCATCGACGCTGTTAAAAGAGAGTGGTAAGTTGATAAATCATATGGTATATGATATATTTATGTATATGATATATAGAATCAATTCAGTCAGTGTGGGAAGCATTTGTCAAGTGCTTCACTGTTCCACCTGTCCTGTTTCTTCACTATTCTTAAATCAAATACCTCTGCCAGTTAGTTGGACACGACCTTTTTCTAAATACAACTCCTAATATTTCTTTTTGATTGCTTCTTGGGTGAGACAATCTATATGTAATATTTGTCGTATATGAATAGTCTCTGTTTAGTTTGGGACCTGAAGGGTGCTGTTCCCTGCCATACCATGCTCTTCCAAGCTCATTCCCCTTACTGGTAAGATTACTGGTTCTGTAGAGCCCGAGAAGACTGTGTTTTCTGTTTAGTTCTTTTTAGGTTTGACTTGGTTTTGTGGGAGAAAAAAATTCCGTTTCCAGGTGGTGCAGTCTGTTGCACTCTCTTGCACCAGTGTTTTCTGCTTGTACCAGTATGCAGAGCTCAGCAGGTTTCTGCTGTTGGGGAATGGCATGTTCCACTTAGGGCACAGGTATGTCAGGCACTCCAGATCAGAGGAGTTCTGGCTTCCCCAGGCAGCAAATTCATGAGTTCAGACTTAGAGTAGGTTGGCATTTCCTGAAGTTTCAGGAGATTTTTTTTTTTTTTCTTTCTCCTAAATCATGCTGCTTCTGTCTCCTGAGTGCCTGGGTCTACTTCAGCCTGTTGGGAACCTTCAGGAGCCACATAAATCTCTTGTGAGGGTTTTCAGGTTTTGGAAGAGGCAGGATCAGCAGCCTGTGGAGTGGCGAATGAGGAAATCAATTTAAACAAGATAGGGTTTAGCAGATGTGTCTAACATTGGTGGTTTTTTAATGAAGGACCGCCTTTAAGAGGACTCACTGAGTAACCTTTTAGTAACTTCATATAATAAACCTTACTTTCACTTTTCCCAGTGTGCTTAAGTCCTGCCTCCCTGAGCAGAGCATGTAAACACGGATCTAAACACTTCGCTGAACTGAGACAAGTAAATTGGAGGATTTTGGGGCTCAATTGTGTTGTGATTCCACGAGACTACACTAGGTGCTTTTCTTAGGAGGAATAGAAGTTTTCTTACATTTGGACATGGCTTGGAAGGTGAAAGTTGGTCCCACTACTTGAGAACAGCTTTTCAGGTTGTCAGAGAAGTAATCTTTTTAAATGGAATAGGACTTCAAAGCAAACCTGGAGGGATGCGGATGGGCAATCAGGTAGTGTCTGATGATGAAATGTTGGCTTTTCAGTGGACTCTCTGCAAACACCACAGAGCAGAATCGCCTCGCCAGAAAGAGAGATCACTTTGGTGAACTTGAAAAAGGATGAAAAATTTGGCTTAGGTAAGTGGCTTTCAAATTGTTGTTCTGCAGTATGCTCCTAGAAGCAAAAACCAAAATAGTTTTCTGGTCTGTATTTAAGTGTTGGCTGGGGGACAGAGGAGAGCAGTGCGTACAGTACCTGGATTTCTAAGGCATTTAAGATGCTGAAGCCTGGACTTACGTGATAGCGCCTGCTACTGATTTGTTGAGTGACATTAGGCAGGTTTGCCTCTTGGTTTTTCCATATTATGAGAGTAGGGTAATATTTATGTTGTGTACTAGCCATCCTAAAAGTTGGCGTTTACAGTTTATCTCTGTTCAGATACAAGATTTTTGTCTATGTGGGCACCTTGCAGCTGGGACACCTTGAAGGCTTGACGCAAAAAAAAAAAAAAGGCAAAATAAAGCCATTATGAGCTAATTGTGGCCAGCTTTTCTTACTCTTAAAGTATCATCAGATGGAACACTAATTTGAGGTTTAAGGAGGCTGGAAGACAAGATATTTGCATTCCATGCCTTCTTCTGCCGCTGAGTTTTTTCATAAACTCACATATTTTTTTCCCCTGTGTAAGAAATGAATAATTTGGTGTCAGTATTGTGCTTTAGGGAGGCTCTCTGAAGTGTCTGTCATTCAAAATAAGACTGTTGTGTAAATTTGAAAGACTGGGAAAGCCTACAAGACAATAATATTTAGTGTTTACCCTGCACAGTACCTCACGAGATGACCAAAGAGGAAAGAAATTCATATGAAATGCACCCTTTCTTCTCTTTCTTCCCCATGCAGTTGGTGGTACTTTGCTGTTTTAGCTAGAACAAAGATGACCTGATACCTTCTTTTTTTTTTTTTTTTCTTCTTTTTTCTGGCCAGGTTTACATGGCAGAATTAGCAGAAATAGATTAGAAGCTTCAAAAGAAAACATGGGTTTGAAAAATTCTGTTCTTAAGACCAAGGTCAGACGTTCAGGTGAAGCATCTAACAATGGAGAAAACCAGAAGTTTTTTAGTAGGAGAAAATACATTTCATTTGGTCAGCAAATGTACATTTAACGTCACGTGTTTGTGCGTGTTCCTGTGCCATAGTCGTCTTCTGTAGGCTTTGCTGGAGTTTTCTGGGAAGCCAGCTAGACAAGGTCTGAATCACTTGCTCAAAAATAGAGAAGGCAATAACGCTTAAGTCAAAAAGGCTTTACCGTTTACTTTCATGTAGACTTCTTTGAGATGTCTAGAGTTTTTTTACTTTACATTTATTTGAATTACTAGGTTTTTGTCCGTTCTGAAATACAGACTTGTATTGTGTTAAGTTCTGCTCTGATCACTGACACTTTTCCCTGCTTTGGACCTTTTTTAATAGGCTTTCAAATAGTTGGCGGAGAGAAGACGGGGAAACTTGATCTGGGAATTTTCATTCACTCAGTCACTCCTGGAGGGCCAGCTGATTTGGAAGGATCTCTAAAACCAGGTGAATAGCCTAAATAAGAGGTGTGCACATGAAAGAAAAGGCGAAACACGGATGTAGTACCATTTCCATCTGTGGCTGCACGTGTCAGTCCCTGACAAATGCTGACCCTCAGTTAACTTCTGGACAATAGCTGAAAACTGGTGATACTTCTTTGTTAAGCTATATGGAAACAAAAATCATTTGAATCAAAGTAAAAATTACAAAGCTTGAAGTAGGAGAAAAATCAAGTTAGGTAGAAAGATAAGGGCTTTATTTGCTATTGTCCCTTGATGGATGCTTTGTAATTTCGTTTTTTTTTTTTTTAAAGCTCCAAATCCATACTCTGATTTTTGGAAAAAGTGAATGTAACCAAATGACTACTGTAGGAAAAAAAAAAAAAAGCCCCACCAAAATTTATTTTATTTAATATCTGCTTCTCCCCCACCCCCCCTTTTATTCTGTGCCTTGAACTGAACTGCATATTGCTTATTTCGCTTTTTCCTTTTTTTTTTTTTAATCCGTTTTTTTTAGAGCAGAAGAGAGGGTGGAAATGGGTAACAAAAGTCAGGAATATATCTAGTATGGAAAGGTTCGCAGATTTAAAAAGAGGAAATATTCGTAACCGGTTCTTGGTGTTTGTCTTTGGTTTTGGGGTTTTTTGAATGATTAGGGTTTCCTATTCCAGCATCACTTGAATTTTAGTGATTTTTAATCCATGCATTGTGTAGAGATTTTCAGATGTATATTCTGCATTCCCACTGATGGATAAAAATGTAGATGTTAGATTGTATCTGAACAAACCCTTTTGTGCAGGACACCGACTAATCTCTGTGAACAGCACAAGTTTAGAAGGCGTCAGCCACTCTGCAGCGTTAGAAATTTTGGAGAATGCACCTGAAGACGTGACACTTGTTATCTCTCAACCCAAGGACAAGCTGTCCAAAGGTAGGGAGAGAAATATTCCTTATTATTAAAGAGTTGTTCTTTGAGTTTGAGCACTCTGCCTTCTCTAGCGCTTGTTGTAAAGTACTTTCAGTGTTTCCTTAAAATCACTAATCTAAGCAGCTGAAATAGCTGTAAAACACCACCCTGCCTGCAGTCGCTTCTCTAAGGTGGTATATGCTTGAAATTGTGTTCTGAGACGGAACAAAGTGTGTTACAGTTGCCTGTAGTGAGGATGCACTGTCTGCATCCTAAACAGAAAGTGTTCTGTCTGATAGGAACGGGTAAAACCTTACATGGTTGTAAGCCAAGTAATTTCGTAGAATCGTAGAATCATTCAGGTTGGCAAAGACCTCAAGGATCATCAAGTCCAACCATCAACCCAACACCACCCAACCCACTAACCCATGTCCCCAAGCACCACATCTACACGTTTCTTGACCCCCTCCAGGGATGGTGACTCCACCACTGCCCTGGGCAGCCTGTTCCAATGCCTCATCACTCTTGCAGGGAAGACATTTTTTCTAATATGTTACCAGCTACTGGTGACTGTCTTGTCTTCTGGTTTTCAGCATCATCTAATGCTGCACACGTCAGTAATGGAACCAAGGGTTATTCAAGGAGGCCGTCATCGGTGCAGGACAACGAGGCAGAGTCCTCTTCAGAAGAACACAACCGGTCCCATGGTCACCAGAGGCCTGGCTCAGGGAGTTTGTGTGGTTTGTCAGGAGGCAAGCGAGAGGGAAGCATGAGCTCCCAGGACTCCAGAACTGAGAGCGCCAGCCTGTCTCAGAGCCAGACAGCCGGCTTCTTTGGCAAACGGGCAAGTGGTAGAGCCCAGCAGGATCCTCAACATTACAGTGATTCCCAGTCTGGGCTTTCTAAAATGAACGAGAAGAGAAGATCCTCATCTGACAGTACTCGAGTGAAAAATAGAAGGCCTGGAGTAGTGGAGCCTGTGGAATATTCTGACCGAGGCGATTCTGACATGGATGAAGCAACTTATTCCAGCAGTCAGGAGCAACAGCCAGCTAAAAAGGCACAGTGTATTTCATAGGAATGTTTCCCATGGGTATAATAGTGGTAGGGAAGTAGCTGAATGTGGGTGTGAATAATGTGAAAGGGTGTGGGTGAAGGACAGCCTAGCCTGCAGCTTATCCTTGTCATGGCAAACTCTAATAGCTAATTTCTGAAAGTTTGGTGATTCTGTTCAAAATAAATGGAGAAAATCGCTCCCGTAACTTGAAAGAACTTCCCAATGTCCTGAGATGGGTGTGCCTGATTAGAGGCAGATTCTGCTTCGGGATGAACGTGTGGTGCACTTGTTGGTTCTGTAGAAAACCTCCTCCAGTACTGTGGCTTTGTCCGATATGATCACAGTCCAGTGAGCACCGCTGGAGGTGACTTTATTCACCTGTCAGATAAATCCAGTTTTTCCTGGATGAGATCAAAGTAGTAGTGATGCCTCTGGAATAGGTGGCAGCAGAGCTTGTTGTCTTTCGGGGTTGGTCTAATCCATGGAGAACTGCTTTTGTGCAGTGAAGCGCAGCGGTGAGCTCTGAACAGACACACCTTGCTGCTTCCCCTTGCCAAAAGCAGACAACGGCAAGGACAAACTAGTTCCTGATTTGCAGCGGTTGCTCTTTTCAGCTGATGGAGATTATTCAATGAAGTTTTGGCTGCTCCTGCAAAATAATCCAACAGCCCTAGGCTGCTGTCATGCTGAAGTGTCTGTGTTCTGTGACCAGCTCATTCTGGCAATAAAGACTCAGCTGCTGAAGGCTGAGCATATTGCTGTGCTAAACCTGCTCAGCTGCAGCAATGGAAAATTAAAGCCATGAGCCTTATGAGTCTTATTAATCAGTACTTTCCCATGTGAACTCCTTTTGGCCGCATCTGACTCAAAAAACACATCCTTTAGGGTCTTAAATGTAAACTTCTGTTCTAATGGCAAATAATTCTCTCTTTTTGTTTTGTTTGTTTCTTTTTTCTTTTTTTTTTTTAATAAAGGAATCCTTCTCAGCGAATACAGCAAACAAAATGAATTCTAAAAAGGTTACTGCAACACTTCTTAAACCTGGAGATATCTTTGAGGTTGAACTAGCCAAAAAAGATAACGGCTTGGGAATAAGTGTCACGGTACTGTTTGACAAGGTTTTTAGATGTTTTCTCTTTTTCTCTACTCCCAGCAACCCATTAATTTGCTAAAGTACAAGGAAGCAAAATATTTTCTGGAGTCATTGTTAAGTATATAGTTTTAGTGATGTGTGATTAATCTTACCAAAGCTGGAATAATATTTTAAATCCCTTCTTTTTTGTCATGTCCCATTTGAGTAACTCTTGGCATTTTATGGTGGACGACCCCCAAAGTCTTAATAGAATCTTATCACAGACGCTGCTTTGTGAGTACGAACAGCAAGATAGTGTTTGTCCCTTGCTATTTAATAATGTGGCAAGTAGACAAATAAGACCTTCCCTGACTGGCATTGGAGGCTGTGGAAGAGGTAGTGTTACTTAAGAGTATCTCTGCACATCCACACAAATATCCTGTGCTCAGTGTTCTCCCTCTGCTAGATAAAAAGCAGAAAACAAAAAAAACAAACTTAAATCCAAATAAGGCCTGGTTGCCACTGCCTTCTTGCAATACAAGACAAAAATGTATTTTTAATGGACTCATTAAAATTTTGAAGGTAGTTTACATTTAGGGCCTGCCACACTGCAGAGAGGCACTTTAGGGAAGAAGAAAGCTATCTATAACCGAGATGCACACATTTTTTCACTGTTCCTGCTCTTGTATTGTGTTCAAAAATACATTTTAGTGTTTTAATATTCAAATATTATCTCTGGTTGGTTGATTCCCAGATTACACGATAATTTGAATAAGGAAAAGCTGCTCAAATTATAACAATAGAGGGCAGTTACTAGCTGTAGTTCAAAACTGCTGGCTTTCACTGGCTGTTTGTACCTAAAACTAAATTGGCCTTTTCCCAAGTGTGGCCACTCGGATAGGCATGGAGTGCCAATTCACAAGACTAGCACTGTTTTCTTATATTGCTGCTATCATCAAAGGAGCAGAATGAAATTCAATTATTTTAGCATCCCAGTCTATTCAAAGACGTATTGCTTTGTCAAGCTTATAACTTGAGACAGCTGGAGGAACCAAGGTTCAACGGGAGCTGGTTGTTGAATAGCATCAAGCCTGCTGTATTCACGCCTTGGCTTTGTAGAAAACATTAGAAGATGCCAACCAACACAAAGATTCCTCTTAAAGGTTGACCAAGTGGTATCTTCATCGCAGTTGACATTTTCAGCCTCCGTTCTGCCCCTTGCGTTACAGCAGAGGTGTACCATTCCCTCTGTGCTTTACATTTTCACGTCGTACCGTGTGCTCTAGGAGTGGATGTTAATACGCTGCTGGTCTCCCTCTTCCCTCTGAGTTGGTGGAGAAGCACTGACAGCGCAACAGTAGCTGTCTGTGAGCCAGAATCGTGGAACAGTTTGGGTCGGAAGGGACCTTTCAAGGTCATCTAGTCCAGCCCCCCTGCACTGAGCAGGACGGCTGAGGTCCTCCAAACCAATGCCATTTGAGCTGCAGCAGGTGTTTTCAGCTTACACCTTCCAACTTGTACGAGCTGCGAGAAAGCAGCACTCCTTAGTTTCCTGTTAGATGAGAGAGGGTGGAGTGAGTAGGACAGAGAGCAGGACACTGCATGGGTATGCATCTTCTGCTTTGGCTCTGGATGCATGCTCTGCTCTCGCCCACCTGAGCTTTGCTCTGCATGCAAGCATGGAAAGTCCAGCGTAGCGCAGACATGTTTCTGCTGAAGGACATTTGTTCCATTTGGCTGCATTTGCGTTGTGATGTATCGTGTTTTTACAGCCTTCCCACCCCAACTTCATTGGTGATGAATTGCGTGACTGTGAACACATGCTTTGTGTGACATTTCAGGTTTGATAGTTCAGCTCTTCCTTTCACATGTCAGTAGCCCAAGTGCTTCCTGAGTACAGTTTTCCTTGTGTGACACTGTGTTTAATTACTAAGTATTCTAACTGCAAAAAAGACTAACCAATCCTATTTTTGCTTTCCTTTTAGGGTGGTGTAAATACTAGCATAAGGCATGGTGGTATTTATGTGAAAGCAATTATTCCTAAGGGAGCAGCTGAAGCAGATGGCAGGATAGAAAAAGGTAATATTTCGCTTCTTTCATTTGGGATTCTTCATGTGAAAGAAGGGCAAATAACTATCTGTGGTGGACTTGAAGGATACAGTGTGGCCTAGAAGCTAGGAATACCGTTTGCCTCTTTTCATTGCACCTTTTTCCCTGGAAAGAAGAGCTGTTTTTCTAAGCTACTGCATTTGCAGTTGTCATTTTAAATATTGCCTTGATAATTCTGCAGGTGAAGATTAAAAAAAAAAAAGTGTAGAACAACTGCAGAATCAATAGAAAACTGCTGAGATTGTGGAGGGGAAAAATAGGAGATAGGCTGCAGGAATTATTTTTTTTTTATTTATTTTCCTAATGCAGCCTGTGTTACTGGAAAACACTTCTCTGTTCCAGCCATGGGGAGAAAGGCCTTTGTATTATTTGTGGCCTTCTGGCTTGGCATGCTGGGCAACTCAGTACAGAAAATCACTGTGATTGTTACTGCTTGTCTTGTTTGTAAGCCAGGCTGCATTCTTTACTGAAGGGAGAATTCCCACTCTAGACTAAGATTTGTTTTTAATAAAGACTCTGAGCTTTGTGGTGGACCATCATTCTGATGGTTAACGCTGGTTTTGACAGAGGGTTATCCCAGAATAGTTCAGTTGCAAAAGTCTCTCCTTGACTCAGAGCATGGAGGAGAGGGAGAATTTGCTGTAACAACTCTCCTTGTTAGCTGGAATGTGAAGGTTTCTGTGCATCATATACATTTTATAATGATGTTCTGCTCACTTAAATTATTGATCGTTTGTAGGTGACCGTGTGCTCTCTGTCAATGGCATTAGTCTGGAAGGTGCTACCCATAAGGAGGCCGTTGAAATGCTGAGAAACACCGGGCAGGTAAGCAGCTGCTGGTTCTACTCCTGTCTGTAGTAAAGCAGCTAGTCAGGAGTGAAAAGAGGTCAAGGAACCTGAAGACAGGAGTTTTCTCCAGTGCCCTGGTTGTTCTAGATGTGTGTTCTTAGAATCCTTGGCTTCCCACGCCTGCTTCTCACTGCCCACCCCAGTGAAATTCTGGCTCCCTGTGCGGGTGAGAGGTCTGCATGGAATTGGTTTCTCCTTGTCCCTGGCTTTCATGGGAAGGATGCCCAGGTGCACCGGTTGGAAGGCAGCTCCAGCGTGCTGCAGGCGGGGTGAACCGCTGGGGAGACAAGGGCTCCATGTACACATACTCTGTGTGCATGTGAAAATGATGTTGTCTTTGACACTTCTTAACCCCCTCACAGCCTTATTGGAAAAAAAAACCCTTTCTCACGCTGTGTTGGCAAGTATCTCACAAATCCATTTGGTTTATTTTGGAGGTTGTCGCTTACAGCCCTTAAAATAAGGAACAAATGGAGGATGTACGGGGGAGAGAAGCATCCATGAAATTTGCTGCTGTAAAACTTAGGACCCAGCAAGTTAGAAAGAAGCATGTACTTTAGAGCCAGGCTCTTCTCTGTGACATCTAGTGATAGGACAAGGGGCAATGGGTTCAAGCTGGAACATAGGAGGTTCCGCTTGAGTATGAGGAAAAACTTCTTTACAGTGAGGGTGACAGAGCACTGGAACAGGCTGCCCAGAGAGGGTGTGGAGTCTCCTTCTCTGGAGACATTCAAAGCCCGCCTGGATGCGTTCCTGTGTGATCTGATCTAGGTGTCCTGCTCCGGCAGGGGGATTGGACTAGATGATCTTTCGAGGTCCCTTCCAATCTCTAACATTCTGTGATTCTGTGATTCTGTGACTGTGCTGTCTCCGTGACTGTTGCCAGTTAACTGGAGAATTTTTTCTCTCTTTAGGTGGTGCATCTGCTGTTGGAAAAAGGGCAGCTTTCAGTGTCCAAGTTTCACGCTCCGGTAACACCCCAATGTACGCCTCCAAATCAGGCGGGGCAATGCGAGACGCAGGAGAAACCAGCGACAAAAACTACAAATGCCAAAGATTACAACTTTGTCACTGCAGGTCAGGTCATTTAGGAAAATTGTCTGAATTTTCACAGCATCCTTTAGTGTTTATAATATTTTTCATCAAATCCTGTGTGGAACAGAAAGACAGGAGACGGTAGGAATCTATACTGAGCCCCTGCACGTAATGCAGTCTCTTCCTTTTTGTGCTGTCACATTTGTTTTTAAGATTTCCTTTCACACCTTTGTAACTTTGTTTTGTGGCTGCTAACTGTTTGCCTTCTCACTGTTCCTTGTTGTTTCCCAGTTTCACCAGCCTTTCAGGCCAGGGGCTGTAGTAAGGTTGGAGTAAAGGAGTGTTGCTATCTCTGGTGCTGCTAAGGGGAGGTGCACATACTCATAGATAACTGAGAGCTCCTGTAGGTCCTGCTGTTCCTGTCTAGGTGAGAGAAGACACCAAGAGCTGGATGAAGAGAGGAGAAGAGGGATTTGTGTAGCTGACTAGAGGCTGGCATATCTCAGCTTCTCTTGAGGGAGACCTGTAAAGGGGGAGGGAAGCCTACCCAGATGGGGAAACCACTGCAGATAGTTTTTGGTCTTCCTGCGTGGGATTTACCCTGTCTGCCTGGAACTCTGGTTGTTGCTTTCACCGTCTGATCAGTGGCCATAAAGGTGGTGGCCACTCTGTGCTTTCACAGGCTCCCTAACGGACGTCCCAGGGAACAGTATTCTGGAGACACCCTGGCTTTCTGTATAGTGTGGATGTTGTCAGGGCAAGCCAGCAGACTGAGAAGTCGTGATCAGCTTTTTGTCCTCTTTAAATGATCTTTCAGATGACGCTTGTGTTCAGTAAAGTGGAAGTTAAGCAGAACCCTGCGAGGGGGAGAGCGTGCACTGTCGTGTCTGGAGTGCCAGCTGCTTGTTGTAGTGGCCAGCATGCTGTAGGAAATAATCAGTTCATGTTTCTTTTGCAGAAAACACATTTGAGGTAAAGCTGTTGAAGAATAGCTCGGGCCTTGGGTTCAGCTTCTGCCGTGAAGATAACCTTACCCCAGAGCAACTGGGCTCGACTATCGTGAGGGTGAAAAAGCTCTTCCCTGGGCAGCCTGCCGCAGAAAGTGGCCAGATAGAAATTGGGGACGTCATTCTGAAAGTGAACGGGGCATCGCTAAAGGGTTTATCCCAGCAGGTTTGTATCTTAGTGGTGGAAGTCGTGCTGTGGTAGTCCTGCAAGTCTCGGGGCTCTGTGTCTGATCACGAATCCCACTGTGGCCACAGGAGGTCATCTCTGCTCTGAGGGGAACATCTCCAGAAGTCTCTCTTCTCCTCTGTCGACCACCACCTGGTATACTGCCGGACATTGATCCTTCTTTGCTGGTAAGGTCTATGGCATGTGATTTTTTTTTTAATCACTATTTGAAGGTTCATCTATTCGGTCTGGTGGGTGGGATAGTTGAATGCAAGATGGGGATGGAAAGATAGGGCAGGGTGCTCACAGAAACGTGGTTCCTACAGTAAATCCCTCAGGAGTGTACTGAACATTTTGTGGAAGTGTGAAAAGAATGCAGGCCTTTGTTTATTTATTTATATTTTTAAAAAAAATTAGGTTTTTTTTTCATTTTGTGGCTTAAGATACTGAAGGTTGCTTTAATACCTTGTTTCTGAGGTGGGGGTTTCTTTGTAACCCAACGGTTTGAAGTTGATCTTAAATAGAAATTGGATATTTCTGTAACGTGTCCGAAGAATACTCTGTGAAACAGCAATCTGTCTGGTTTTGGTGCATGTAAAACCAGGGAAGAGTTTGCCCTGTTTTCTTACTGGAAATAAGAAGTGTCCCAAAGAATATTTTCAGAATGCTTCAATAAGTAAACCGAAAGAGCAGAAGGCCATTTTCGGATGCTTGGAAGAAGTGGAAATTAAATGTGTTCCAGCAAAAGAGAATGTAGAGGGGAGCTTGCCTGAGAAGTAGGCTTTCCATAATAATTTTCAAACAGTAAAAAAAAATTAAGTCTGATAACAGAAACTTAAATGTACAAATACAAATATAAGCGAAATTAAAATTTGTAGTCTGTTATGTAGCTTTTTGTTCCAAAGCTTCCCTGTTTCCCTCCTGTGTGAGATTAGTTTGTCTTCAGTTGCACTGTCAGCAGTGTGTTCTGGTGGGAAGGGATTTCATGGTCATTGCCTGGATGACTGCTGGTCGTACCTTAAGAGTATCTGTCTTAGGCTCTCCGAGGCTAAAGCCAAGAGTACATTTGTTTTCCTTAGATGAATTGGCAGGTTTTTTGCCTGCTTTGTCTTGGGCAAGTTGCATTGAACTTGGTGAAACTGTGCTATGATAGGTTTACCCAGTTGAGGCAATGTCTAAATGGAAGAAGCCGCTGACTAATTGCTTTTGGTAATTTTATGCAGTCTTTGCAGCTTTCTTCTGTCATCAAAAGTGGAGTTTGCTGAGTTAAATGTCCTTGCTCTCTGTAGACTCCCATCCATTCACTCCAACAAGTATTTCCAGATGTCAGCAGAGAAGCTTCTGGTCCATCAAATGGAGAACAAGGTGACAGCTCAGATGAAAATGAAACTCCTGATCTGAGCGAGAAAAGGCTGACATCTTCCTCTAGAAGAGACAGCTACAGCAACAGCAGCAGGAGTGGTGATGAGGAGATGATGGACTCGTCAGCACGGGTGGGCCCTGCCTGGAGTTCTACCCTGTGCCAGAGCTCGGATGAAGCTGTGACACAGACACGTGGTCAGTACGAGGCACACGGTGTTCAGGAGGAGGCTCTTCGCACCGTCTTGTATTCTGATCAAGAAGCTCCTAGCAAGTCAGAACTTCAGGACAGGTATCCTGTTTATAATGATTCTTGTAATATTGCAGAAGGTATTTAGAAAAATAGCTCATTGGACCTATTCCTAGAAATGCTTTTTTTTTGTTGTTTAGGATTTCAGATCTGCATAAGGGCAGTATTGTTTCATGTATTCATTTACTGGGTGACAGTCACGTTGTGCAAGCTGATCCTTGTTTTTTGCTTGTTTATCTGCAGTGATTTGCCATTGGATTTGCCATTGATCCCAACCTGTAGAACTGTTCCTGATGTTACCACCTGCGTTTTAATCAATGACTGTTACGCTACTGCTGCTTCTGAGCTGACTCCGCACCTGGGAGGAACAGATTCCTTACTCAGCCAGTTGGAAAAAAATGCTGAAGAATATGAGCCAGTAATTTACTATTTCTGTCTCCCCGTAGCATCAATGTACCTTTTGCTGGAAGTTGTTTTAGCCATGGTATTGGGAGCGACTGGATAGAAGTTAGGCATGTTAATTTACAAGTGGGGTAGTTGCAGTTTATACTTTTGCACTAACCTGGGGGTGTGCCGTTCGTCCCCGCTGAACTGGGGCTGCTCGTACAAATGTCTGGAGGCATTTTCTGCCTGGGCTGCTGAGGAGCTGATATATATTTCTCTCTGGGAATGCAGAGGCATGCATGTGTACGCAGGTAGATATGTATATGTTTATTTTGTGTGTCACTTCAGCCTGCAAAACTTGGCATCAAATATTTACCTGCCTCTAAACCATGTACTCAGGCGAAGCTTAAATGGCAGATATCTTGCTTCTGCCCTGTTAGTTTTCTGTGTGATTGTTCAGAGATCAGAGGATGACTCAAGGCAGCAGGGACATCAGGAGACCCTCTTCTTTGCTGCATTTGTATCTATGAATCCTGAAGACTTTCTGCTCTGCCACAAAATGCAGCATGTTTTTAGGACTCTTCTGAGATAGCTTCTTGCCTCCTCAGAAATGTGTTGCCTATCAGAAGGGATTTTGCTTCCATATCCTCACGTAATCTAGTCACAGATTGGAAGAAAAAAAAAAAAAAAAAAAGAAGAAAATTGAGCCTTGATATGTCTCAGTTGTGAGGGTCTTTGAGGTTACAAAGCTATTCTAGTGCATACTCCGTGTGGAGAAAAAACAAACTGTCTTTTTCTTCATCCCTTCAGAGGTTTTTCTGTATTTTTCAAGTCAAAATTTGTGCAAATTGAAATAAGCGAAACATGTTCATGTGTTCAGTTCCAAGATAAGCTATGGTATTGTATCTCATCGTAGGAAAATATGTTCACCTACTTTCTTGAGTTGAATAATTCCTGGTGTGTTGTCTGGAAAAAATACAGAGCCTTTTCTCTATATGGCAGATACTTGAGGGTAAAATAAGTTGTCAGTTTTGCCATGTACCTTCACAATTTGGCCCAAAATTAGCTCCATTCAAAACAGTAGTCCATCTGAATTCATTAGAGGTGCTTACTTGAAGCGGCTAAGCTGAGCCTGCCAAGACACATCTTGGTACTTTTCCAGGCTTGTGTTCCGTTTAAACCAGTAGGTGAATCAGTTGTCTGCTTCTAACTGTCTTAAATTCAGTGAAGAGTTCAAATTGCTTGTCTGTGCTGTAAAGTGCTATTTTCCTCCCCCAGGAGGTGGAGCTCCAAGTCACCATGACCAAGTCAGAGAAGGGAAGTCTAGGCTTTACGGTGACCAAAGGTAGCGATAGTGTTGGCTGCTACATCCACGACATCGTTCAGGATCCTGCCAAAAGCGACGGGAGACTACGACCTGGAGACCGACTTATCAAAGTGAGAGAATTAACATTTCCAGATACAGGGATTGCATGAAAATGACAACTCTGAGTCAATTTAAAAAAAAAAAAAAAAAATTCTGTTGTGGGCCAGAGTAAATGTGATAAAGGAACACAGACATGCATGTTCTGAGACACATCATTTAATAGCACTCAGACAAAAGAGATACAAGGAGGAAACGTGAGAAGATTGCTGAAAGGAGTTATGGTGTGTCCCACAGCTAGGCGTGTGTGCAACCACTATTCCTGACAGCAAAAAGTGTTTTCAAGAGAAAAGTGTTCATTTATTAAATAAGATGGTTGCTCAAATATGTGGAGTTGTTGGTCAAATGCATGCATGGCTAGCACATTGGTAGGAAAGAAATTTTAAGAGATTTGCTGTAGAAGAGTTTACCGGGTACGTATTGTGTAGTACAGATGTTCGTCATCATAGTATTTGTTTCAGATCGATGGAAAGCTTGCATTTGGGCTTAGGGGGACTGAGCAGTAGTGACAAAGTGCATTACGCAGAGCGCGTGCATGTCACCATGAGATCAGGGCATGGAAGCACTGCTGTACTGTTAAACCTTAAAAGGCAAATACTAGTCAAATTGGATTAGTTTGGGAGTCAGACTTTCAGGTCTTGGCTTATGCAGTTATAGCATTCCTGTTTTTTAAATGGGAACAATAGAATAATACACCTTCAGATTGGTTCATATTTTGACATTTGGACTGTAAACTTGTGTGTTCACTTGCAAAAGTTCAGTTAAGTGTATGTGCTCTGTCTCCTTGCACAACTATGGTGAACTGCAGCTCTTGTTGATCATCCTTTGTGCTTCAATGTCAAATGTCAACAGCAGGAGCAGTAGTAATTGTTTCTGCAGTAATGCTGTTTTTCTTAAACCTAACACAGAGATCTCTGTTGCTTTTATCTTTGCAGGTGAATAACATTGACGTCACGAACATGAGTCATACTGATGCAGTAAACTTTCTCCGCGCTGCCCCAAAGACTGTCAGATTGGTGTTGGGGCGCGTTTTGGAGTTACCCAAGATGCCAGTGATGCCTCATTTACTGCCTGATATTACACTCACGTGCCACGAGGAGCAGCTAGGTAACACAGCAGTATACTAAGTAAACTGCTTTTTGCTCTCGTGAGAAATTTTTTCCCTTTAGTTACAAAGAAAGCACTTGATGCTTTTTTTTTTTTCCTCCCTACAAAGGTTTGTTATTATCAGGAGGTCATGACAGCCTTTACCAAGTTGTGTACGTTAGTGACATTCACCCCGAATCAGTTGCTGCCAGAGAGGGGAGTCTCCGTGCCCTAGATATTATCAATTACATTAATGGAGTAAGCACACAGGGAAGGACTCTGAAAGAAGCCAAAAGAATGCTGGAAACATCCCTTCCTAAAGTGGTGCTCAAAGCAACCAGGTATGTTTTGAAAACAAATGACTCCCTGTACTTTTTGCTTTTTCTCGCATGATTGTATGAGTGTATGGGTAAAACGTGTTCCTGGTATGACAACTAATTCATCAGAGTAGTTACTAGGTGGCATGTTGTCCAGGACTTGATGGCACAAAAGAGATCACAAAAAAAATTTGCAGGTTTTGTGCTTCAGTGAAGCAGAAGGGTCCTTACTACTTGCTGTGGGTTGTGTTTCTTGGGAAGACAAGGCTGTTTTCAGCGAGGAAGTACAAGTGTTCAAAATTATCATTTACAAAATATGACACCAGGTTATTTACATGCAATTACTCCTTTTCTTAAAACTGCTACGGAGGGTTCTATAGTCATGAAAGGAGGTGAAATGTTGTTTTGTGCTTAACTAGTTCTGCTGTCCCATGGATGTCCCAGCACACCAGTGGATGTCAAAATTCTATGGCACAGAACCACTGTGTTTTCACTGATCCCTGCTGCTGCTTTTATGGCCAGACAGCAGTCTGCAATACTATCCAGATTACTTATTTCTAATATTTGCCTGGAACTGAAACATCTAATTCATTTTTGAAGTCTTCCAGACATGCCTGCCATTATTTGCTTCCTCTCTCCCTTTCTTCTTCCCACTCTGTTTTATCTCAGAAGGGGAAGGAGTTGCAAAGTCCTGAGACTGTGAGGTTGAGTCTTTTTGTCAGAACCTAGAAGGAAAATCGAGCTGGTTCTCCCTGAAGTAGGAACTAACCTAACTACCAGTGCTTAAACCCTCTTATTGAATATTTTAAGTATTCCAGAACTGTTGTAGTAGAAAGCACAACTAGCAGTTTTACTGATCATCACATATTAATGTAAATATATACTGTTACCATTATTTTTTTTAAATAAAAATATCTGTAAATGTTTCTTTTGGTAGAGATGGTCATCCAGTACTTCCAAAATCCAAAAGCACCGATAGCTCAAACCCATGGCCAGTGAAAGCTAATGGTAAGATATGCTTGCTTATTTATTGCAAGTGAAATGCACATGTTTAGAAAAATGAAGGAACTGATATGGGCCTCGAGATACCGTCCTAGTCCAAGGGCTGCACTAGAACTCCACGTACTAAGATCAGCTCCAGCAGCTGTACGCTCAATCTTTCTTTTGAAAGCTCCACTAAGAGAATCAACAGTAGTCTCTTTCTGATACCATTTCTCTTGTAGTTTAGAAATTCTCCCTAATATCAAGCCCAAGTCTTTCAAGGAGTTAAAAAAAATAAAAATTAGTCAATAATGATGTTTCCTCTGACTGGGCATAAAAATAGCAATTTATTACATTTGAAAGGGCTTCGGGTCTCCCATTGGTCTTCTCTTTTTCAAGGTCAAAGGAGCCAAACTGATTTTATTGCTCCCCTCCAATTTCTTCACATCCGGCTGTTTTCCTCTTCAAGTGTGGGGCTTCTGGCCATACACATGGCGTTGGGTGAAGCTCACCAGCACCAGGCAGACAGGAAGAATTATTTCCAAGGTTGTGTAGACAGCATTAATACCTCTCGAGTGAGATTAACTTTGTTTTGCTAACTAGCACCTCGTTCACTTAGACTCAGGATCCTTTCCCACCTGCTCACGTGCAGAACAACTGCTTACGTGGTTATTTACCATCTTAAGCATTTGGTTTTCTTTGGAATGTGTCACTTTGCATTTGTCTTCATTCATCATGGTCTTGTTATAGAATCACAGAATCATTCAGGTTGGAAAAGACCTCAAGGATCATCAAGTCCAACCGTCAACCCAACCCCACCCAACCCACTAACCCATGTCCCCAAGCACCACATCTACACGTTTCTTGAACCCCTCCAGGGATGGTGACTCCACCACTGCCCTGGGCAGCCTGTTCCAATGCCTCATCACTCTTGCAGTGAAGACATTTTTCCTAATATCCAGCCTAAACCTCCCCTGGTGCAACTTCCTTTAATGTATTTAGATAACTTTGAGTATCGATCTTGCCTGATGACATTATTGCAACTCTTGCAGTTCAGTGTTTCTCACACATTTTATGAGTTTGCTACACATTTTGTTTCAGTAATCTCAGTCGAGATATACATTAGGAACAAGCCCTGTAACTGAATCTTGGAGGATACCACTTAAAAGACCCTGCCTGTAGGTGATTTGTCGTGCATAGGCTCATGACAAGGTACAATGTTACTCTCAGCCTTCAGTTATTTAACCTACAACTTTCTTTGCTTGTAAAAGCATAGTGTATATGAAAATCCAGAACTTCGCTAGTAGCTCGGTGTAGAGCATCTATTGATTTCACTTAGGCTAATTTATTACACAAATAATGGGATATCCAGGCTAGGCAGTGTGCTGTGATATCATAATACCACGCTCTTCTTTACCCAGAAGGAAAAAGGTACTTTTGAACAAAGACTCGGATGACAGATGATGTTCAAAATAAATAAATTAAGAAAACCATGGTGACAATTGATTGCAGGGTTGTATTTTGTACATTTCAAGGGAAAGGGAATCACGCCGTTTCCCAAAGGTGCATGTGTTTCCACTGCATGTTGTTAAGCTATTTATTAACACTTCTCTTTGCTTAAGGTTGGTTACTTGTATTCACGCTCTCTGATTCCATGCGATGTAACATTCAAAAAGCCGTTATCAAGTACAGTCCATCTCACGTAGGTTTGGCAGTGCCCAGTAATCAAGCAGGTAGAAATGTTACTCATTTCGTAACATAATATTAAATACCTTGTTTCTTTTACAAACATAATTAACAGGGGCTAATTTAGTTTCCATGAAAAAGTTGCTGTGAAGTTGTTGTTTTTTCCATTTTTGTTTAGGCTGTTCCTGTGGTGATCCCTGTGATAAAACAGAACAGACAGCTGATGCTTATGGGCCCAAGGTAAATATTCTTCTCTTGTGCATATTTTCATTAATGGGAGAAAAACCTACTTTACACATATTTTTAAAAATAAATAATTTGATTAAACAGTCTGTTAATGAAAGTATGCAAATCCACTGTTGTCAGTTGATTTGAATAAGCAGTGATCACAATAAATAAGCAAGTTTTTTTTAATTTATCTTCTCTTTCTTTGGGACTGCTTTATTGAATAAATGGTTTTCTGAGAAGGATGCGAGGCTATGATCCAGAAACCTCCATTCTGTTCACAGTTCCTGCAGATGCTTGCATGTTACTCTTTCTTTTTTCCCCCCTTGGTTTCTTCTGAGAAATGGAATGTTGTGAGACCAAAAGTATTAAAGCCTGCGTACGTTTCACAGAGGTTATAATAAGGCTAAAACCCACTGTGTGTTCTTTTGTAGTGGTTGCTTCTTCATCACCATATGGTGTTTTTTTCTTAGTTGCTTTAAAATTTTTATATTTGCTCTTTTCATGTGAAATTTCTAGCACCTAAAAGCTGCCAAATGACAAGTAGAATGCTGGCTACCCGTCACCAAGCTATCTCAGATGAGATATGATGTGAATCCAGTTTTTTACTTGTTGCTAAGTAGAGTGGTGAACTTTTTAAGGATTGCTTGCTGCTTCAACAAAATGTGTCAGACTCTTTACGTGAATTTGTACTGTTCTTTGCTTTCTTAGATAAATGGCAATGGCATCCTAGGACCTTCTCAAGCAAATACAGAAAACAGCATCCATCCCGTGAAAGGACTGATGAATCTCTCAGGATCTGGAGATGCACTTTCCCTTGGCTTTACCAGTCAAATATCAGATTTTTCTAAACACATTGACAAATCAGGTAAGAGGTGGTGAGATGGGGGACAGCATTATTCAGTCTTTAGTTCGTAAGTACAAGAGAATCAAGGTACTGTTGAATAGGCTGAAATAAGTGACTGTTAGGCTGGCAGTCAGTTTTAGAAGGTCATTTCCAAGTCGTGTGCTCTGCTGTAAAGGAATTAGTTGATGTTGGAAGTAGATTTATGGAAACTGGATTCCGTGTTAGAGACAGATGAAGGAAAGCCATTATAATAGCTAGAAATAATCCATAGTGTCTTCCCCTTTCAGTTTTTTGCCCCTAGAATATCCTATATTGGGAAAACTTGTCATTTTATACTATTTCTCTTTAGAAACAGAGGTTGCAGATGATGAGTATTATGATGAGGATGATCACAATGAAGTTGTCCAGTATCTGTTGGATGTTGTAGATGAGGAAGCCCAGAACCTCTTAAATAGTAACAATAAAACTTCAGAGGCTCAGAGCCTTCTACATCTCAAGAAGACCACATCAGAAGATCACCTGCCAGGTACTGTGAGCCATTAAAAAAATGTATCATTAACAGCAAAATGCTTCTTGAAGCAAGGTGCTGAGTAAACGATTGATTTGGCAAGAGGGAGATTTGGCATTGAATTGATCTGTGAGCTGAAAGTTTCCCAAGCAGAACACAGACAAATGATTGCTGATTCCACTCAGCTTCAGATGCAATTTAATAAGTCAAGTTCTGGTTGGATAAAACTGGATTTTGCTTTGATTAATCTGGGAAAATTAATCCCATTCTGGAATTGTCTCTTGAGTGGAATTCATGTTGTGCAGGTACCTGGTTCTGCAGCTACAGTCAGGTTGGAATGCTGGAGCATTTCAACATCTCCTTGACTGCAGATAGCACCACTTGGAAATGTGTTGAGATCTCTCAAAACCAAACAATTTGCCAACATGCTTTGTCTCTTTTAGAAAAACTGGTTATTTTTTTCAGTACCTGCTTCTGTTTTTACACGTTTCTTTTCCTTCATTCCGTCTCCTCAGCTGCACTTGTTATTAACTGAAATTTGGTGTGGAGTAGGATTTGTAGTTCCTCTGTGGTGTCACTCTATGTATGTATGCTCCAAATGTTCAAGCAAGATGCTTGCTACTCCTGTAGAGGATCCTTCTAGAACTCAAGATACGCTGACCAAAAAGTATTTCAGCTCTTTTGTTGCTCTTCAGGTCCATTGAGTTATTGTCATTGGTCATTATCACAGAATCATAGAATCATTCAGGTTGTCAAAGACCTCAAGGATTGTCAAGTCCAACCGTCAACCCAACCCCACCCAACCCACTAACCCATGTCCCCAAGCACCACATCTACACGTTTCTTGAGCCCCTCCAGGGATGGTGACTCCACCACTGCCCTGGGCAATTATGTTAGAAATTGGGGAACACTGAGATCCTGGCACAGTCAGAACCTCGTTGGAGCTCCACTACTTCCATTTTTTTCTAGTGAGGATCTGGCCTTTGCAACTGAAGATGCATTGAATCCGTAAGACAGGGCAGCAGAGAACTACTGCAGCAGTCAGGTCCAAGTCAGACTTTATCTGGCACATCTTAATTAGGTCCTGTTAAGATCAAGAGGATGTAGAATCCTGGTTTAGACCTACTGCTGGTCTAAATGGGACTGAACTGCAGAAACACTGTTAATGTGAGAATCTGATAACTTCTAGCACCAGCCTGTCCATCCATTATTCTGTTACCTGTGCAACCAACCTCGCATGTGATGGCAGCTGTTCTAGTGACAAAGAAGGAAAGTCTGATTATCCTGTGCAGTCAGCCCTCCTTCCCAACACACGAGTAGCAAAGGGACGTAAAGGACGTTTCTTGCATGTGCTGGCACCTGTGTTCCCTGGGCAGTGCCAGGCAGGGGTGGCAGGATTCACAGCTGTCAGAAGATGACTCTTGGGCATCTTTCAGTGTGATGCTGTATCTCCTGATTTTCCTGTTCCAGTAGAAATGAATGGAAAGCTGACAGAAGATAAGTCTGAAGACACAGACTGTGATGGGTCATCTTTACCTGAAGATTTTTCAGAGGTGAGATGGCAAGAAGCTGGCAGACATAGGTCTGCTGATTTTGCTTTCTCAGACACTCTTTCCATTTATTGTTTTCCTTATTGTCATAGGACTTGTGGAAATAACTTTAAATATCTTTTAAATGAAAATATCTTTGTCAGTCATAGCTGTAAATTGTGTAGCAACATTTATTTTTGAAATAGTGTATGATTATTCTATCATAAATTAATTACACAAGGGAACAAAGCATAGAGTTACTGTACACTGTTACTCATATAAAGCCCAAGAACTTTTTGTAAAGGGGTGATAATAAACTACCTGGTTAACATTATTTCAGGCATTCAATCTAAAAGGTTTCCTTGACTCCTGCTCAAAGAAAAGAAGCAGTCACAATGAATGTAGACTTAGCTGGCCAAAATGTCAATTTGGGCTTTCTTTTCCTCTCATTTTTTTGCTAGGATGTGTTCGTTAACGTGAATAACTTCTCTGTGTGGTTTACCCTACCTTATTGCATGTCCTGGTTTACATCAGTCACTAGATGCCCAGCTTTTGTCTCCTGTTTCAGATCAGCAGAACTCTGTCTATCCAGCACATCCTGGCCGTTGCGGCTTTCTGCCCAGTTTGTAGAGCTGGGAGGCAGACTGGGAATCTGATCTCTAGGAGATCCAAATGTAAAATTCGCTGAGTATGTCAGTGGCAACTTACAAACTGGCTTAGTTAAGTATAAATGGTTTTGGAGAGTTTTTCTTGAAAGGAGGATCAAAATGCTGAGTCCTTGTTGTCTACAGAGGAGGGCATATCCAGGAGAACCCACCATTTAGAGGTAAAGCCCTGATCTGTCCTACACAGGAATGCTGGCTTGAAAGGAGGCTGAAGTTTTCACCGTCCAATTTGTCTCATCAAGGGTTTTTAAGTATTAGAAACAAAAAAAAAGTCAACTGGAGAAAATTTGGATGGCTTTACTGCTGCTGTGAGTCCAAGCTTTTTGGCCTTGGAACAGTAGAGCCTCTTTCTAAGTGTTCATTATTCTCATCCTCTGTTATTTTGGGTTAATGAGATGTCTGAAAGAGGAAAGACTTTCATTATGTGCTGCTTTGAACTTAGTCCCCTTCACAAGTAATCCATATAGCTGTTAATTGGTTAAAATTTGCAGTGGCCGAGTGTTATAACTATGTCCTTTAATGTGTTTTGAACTATTTCTTCCACTAGCCAGCACATGTCAATGGTTGTGAAGACTACTGTGAAGTGAAAGCGATGCCAGAAAGGTAGGATTTCTTTTCTAGTCTTCCTTGAAAGCAAACCTGGGAAGTCTGAAGCTCTGAACAGAGATATGTTATAATGAGAAAGGAAAAAAAAAAATAAAAATCCTAAAACAAAACACAATAGCCTCAAACCAGAACAGACCAATGAAATATCTGTGCAATATCTTGTTGAATTGCTCTCTGTCTGTTCTTATTTAAAAGGTTATAATTTGCCTGAATACTAGTCAGTTTTGTGTGGTTTACCATGCCCTAGTCTATTCCTTTGATACGTGGTTGTAACAAGGAGCTGGGCTGTGTTCAGATGGTTCCAAATAACTTAATTAGCATTGTATTAACTATTTGGTACTTGCATGGGAAGAAAGCATTCAAACAATGCCATCTTCAGTTGGAATCTTTACAAGCTTCATTAATGTTACTTTTTCTGGTTTTAGAGGACAGAAACTAAACCATATCGTGTCAATGGTCCATCTGTTCCTATTTGAGCGCTTGGGACTTTTTTTTTCCACATGGAAAACTAAGGATATGCCTGGCCAAGTTACTAGCTATCCCTTTAAGCCATTTTGAATCTTGGAAATTCCCAGGATCATTCTTCTCTGCTGAATAATTTTAGTCCTTAGTCGAAGTGAAGCTTCAGTCAAAGTGTATATACATCTTTTTATCTTTTGATTAAGTTTCTGGGAAGTTTCGGGTTGAGATTTGGCGCAAGCAGTCACACTATGACCTAAAATGTTTATACATTTATCACCATCTTCATCAAAGCTAGAAAACCTACAACTGAAAAGAGATATTCTAGTGTATAGGTAGTGAAATAGAGAATGATACAAATCTGCTATTGGATGCTATTGGACTGCTTATCCTTTGAAAAGTAGATGCAGTGGTGGTTACTACTAGATTCTTGTCTTCCTGGCTCTTTCTCCACTGTCACCTTATTCAAATTCCCACTGGAGATTTAAAAAAGGAAAAAAACGGGAGTGTTTTGAGATGACTGGTGTGGATTCAGTCCAGAAATACTTGTAGCTGTAAATTACTTTGTGGTAATTTTTTATTAGATTGCAAATATGTTGGATATCTCTAGGCGTTCTTTCTTACTTCCATACCTTGTCCTCGATAGATCTCCTCCGCAACCTCCCTTGAGCCAAGCAGATGAAGATGAAATCACGTGGGGAAGTGATGAACTGCCGATTGAATCAATCAGCCAGGAACGTGTCAACAAAGGCAAGAACTTCAACAAATAATAAGTGGAAAACCAAGGATCACCTTAAGTAGACAAAACGTCAGAAGGGAATTTTAAAATGTCCTGGGTATATTTTGATGTTATAATGACAGGTATAATGGGAAATCTGACAGCTCAGCAACCCACTGGAGAGGATCTTTACAGCTTTGTGAAATTAACGTGTGAGAGTTAATAGGAGCAAGTATTGGCAATGTTGGCCCTCTAGTTGTAGAGTTGAAAGCAGCTGAGCTGCTTTCTTCCATAGAATCTATCTGACAAAAACTGTAATAATATAGATGGTTTGTGTGGTTTGACCATGACCAGATCGATATATTATGTGCTTCACATACTGGCTACTCCTTGCTCAGACTAGGCAACATTTTTTCTTTCTCTTGACTCTTCCACTGTTGCTCACCGTGGCAGAGTGGAACACTACTCACTGTGATGTGTTTGGCAGAAATCAGTCTTTACTTTTTGAGACAGCATTAGAAATGTCATCTCTTCAAATTCATACACAGCAGCCTTTTCTCTGTATTCATTAAAAGAAGAAAAGGATAATCCATGTAAACCTTTCGACTAAGTCAATTCAGGACACTTGTAGTTGTGATACCAGAGAGGCTCTTGCTTTATTAATTTTGTTGTGCTTCAGAGAAACACTAAGGCCTGATAGAAAGCAAGCTTTATTGGGGGGGGGGAAAGTATTTAACACATTTTAAGATTGCTGCTTGAAAGACATGTTGAGTATAAGTGCTAAAAACAAAGTCACAGGCTGTGATGTTTGAGTGGAGAGTTCTGAATTCATCCCTATGTACATTCATCAGTTTTAAAGAACTTACATTTTAAATGTATTTGAAGTTTATTCCAGTGTATTTATTGGGAGTTCAGGAAAATGCTCCCTTTGTTCTTCAGTTCATCAAAGCTGATGTGTCGTGCTGGTTTTGTTAGTTAATTCTGTTTTGCCTGTCAAACCGAGAGCACATCTGTGTATTCTCTTGGCTGCGTGGAGGGATTCTAGAGAAAACAGGTAGCACAGTGGTGAAGAGTAACAAGGAAATCCAGCATTGCACTGCGGTTGACATTTCCTTAGTTTATTTTTCCCTTTTATTTTTTTTATTTATATTTATATCAATCAGTCTTGTTCTGCTAGATTTCCCTTTAGTGACAAGTGAAGAGATCTCTACATTCCCTACTGTGACTGTGGTCCCTGGAGGCAAGTACTCAGGAGCCAAATTGAAGTCAGTGATCAGAATGTTGCGTGGATTGCTGGAACAGGGAGTGCCTTCTAAAGAGATTGAAGTGAGTAACTATTTGTTCTTTGAAGTCCTTTTGGTCTAGTAGGAAACAGTTAGAAATAGAATGGATGGTTCATCACTGCCACTGCTTAAATACCACAGCTCTGTGGTTTGCAGCTCTGAAGGGATGAAAAGACTTCTTTTACCAAAGACTTCTCTGCCTTCCCTCCACTAGCTGCTGAGAGGTAAGATTAGTTTGAACCAGGAGTTCAATTCAAACGTGTGTTTCCATCATTCTTACTTCTGGTAAATTACCAAGTGAATATGACAGTAGCAGGCATAGACAAGATAAAGGCTGCAAAATCTAGCTGCAGAATGTGAAAACAGCCTTTCCAAAGTCCTAAGTTAACTATGTTATACGATCTTTTATTTGGGAGAATGAGATCAAATATTTACTGGGTAATGGGTTTTTTGGTGTTGTTTCAAGGTGGTGTATTTTCTCAGCCATATGAAATTAGATTCCTTCCTGCAACTGAATTGATCAGGATTTTTTTTTATGTTTGTGTCTGTTAAAGACCTGGTTCTATAGCTGCTCTTAATGCTTATTACCGTTCAGTGCTTTCTAATCCACGTGTAACTTCTTCTTTCCAGAACCTTCAGGAGTTAAAACCTTTGGATCAGTGTTTGATTGGACAAGCAAAGGAGAACAGGAAAAAGAACAGATATAAAAACATACTTCCTTGTAAGTCCTAGCTAACCTGCTCTTTTGTCAACACCTGTAATGTCAGATGAATTGGATCAGAAGTGAGGTGGTTTGATTCCCAATCCTAGTTCTGCCATTGAGTATGGAAAAAAATCTGCCGCTCCTTTCCTACACATTTAAATCAAGCATCTGTAAAGATCGGTGAGCAATAGACTGCTGTAGTAGGTAGGGATGGATGTTCATAGATTGGTCAGTTGTTTCAGCAGACCCTGTGTCTTAAATGAGATCTACATATGGAGCTCAGCGCAGGTTTTTTAGTTTTACCCGTGTAAAGTTGGAAAAACAGACATGTATACTATTGTCAGTAAACTTCCTGTCAGAAAACTGAGTTTGTCATCTGGGAGATGGGTGGAGGAGAAGTGGGAACTGAGAGGGGTTACTGCTGAGTAAGAAATAATCAACCTCAGAGTTTCAGAGGAGCTGCAGTTCAAATCATGTATCCCGCCTGTCTGCTGATTTAGATTTCTTCCCTAGCCATCTTTTTCTTTATTCAAAAAGAAGTACTGATTAGTATCCTAAAGCAAGTATTGTGATTTTTTTTTTTTTAAAGTAAGATCTGGAAGCACCTTTGGAGATAAGTAGTATGTGAGGGTGCAAGGCTCAGCATCTCTGTAGTGTGAAGGTCTAATTGTGTGCAGGCATAACACTGAAGTATTTCTGTTGTGTGGGGATTGCAGATGATACCACCAGAGTACCTCTGGGGAACGAAGGTGGGTACATCAACGCCAGCTTCATTCGCATGCCCGTGGGGAACGAAGAGTTCGTTTACATTGCGTGTCAAGGACCTCTCCCTACTACTGTAGCAGATTTCTGGCAAATGGTTTGGGAGCAAAACTGTACTGTGATTGCCATGATGACTCAGGAGGTTGAAGGAGAAAAGATCAAATGCCAGCGTTACTGGCCAGATGTACTCAATAAAACCACCATGATAACGGATAGACTCCGGCTGGCTCTTGTAAGACTCCAGCAGCTGAAGGGCTTTATTGTTAGAGTGCTGCAGCTGGAAGAGATTCAGGTAAGTGGAACTGGTTCTGCATGATGAGATTTTTTTTCTGAGTGGTGGCATTTTTATCCTTATAGTTCTGTCTTGCCTGCTTTCAGTTGCAATATCTGCATCAAGAAGTAACCCAGCGCTGCTTCTCTTTGCCCAGTGATCATTACTAGGCAGCTGTTCCTCCTTGCAGCTTGTGATGCTCTGTGACCTTTATAGGAGAAGGCAGTTGGGACAGGAGATTATTTTGTTATGCTAGTGAGATTCTAAATTTTGGCTCCTTGGGTGCTTTTGGCCACATATATAGGGCTATGAAATGCGCTAAATAATTCAGTCTGGCTGGTTCATTCCTTTGTGTGATCAGCTTCATCTGCACAGTGAACCTCATGCAATTTCATTACTTGCTGGTTATTTTGAGCTTAGCTCACAGTTCCTCTTGTTTTATTGAATATCAGAACACCTTCATTTGCCAAATCCCTCTCTTTTGAGACTCTTTCCTTTGGGAACTTTACCTGTTGTCTTTTTCTTCTTCCTATGTGTTACATTTTGTTATTCTTGTTTTTAAACCTCAGACAGGTGAAGTACGGCACATTTCCCATCTGAACTTCATCGCCTGGCCTGACCATGACACCCCTTCTCAACCAGATGACCTGCTTACTTTTATCTCCTACATGCGACGTGTCCACAAATCGGGTCCTATCGTAACTCACTGCAGTGCAGGCATCGGACGGTCGGGGACCCTGATTTGTATAGACGTTGTTCTGGGGTTAATCAGCAGAGACCTCGATGTGAGTACCCAAGAGGACGGGCTAAGCTGCGCTTTTGACTTGCAGGAAATGTGTTCCATTGGAACCATTCAGTTGTTTAAAGAATATGCTATGCTTTTGAGGGTAGCATGCTGGCTGTGTCTTAATGTAACATAAATTGGGGTGTAAAACAGCAATACCCATGAAGTGTTTCTTTGTTGATGGAGAGGAGGAAGCTCTGACATCCACTTGTCATCTAGCTGAGTGTCCTGTTTGTTGAGACCTCAGCAATCCAACATTGTTCTAGGGTATGTTGCAAGGACACCTCCTACCGTAGCAGACTTCTGGCAGATGACTTGGGAACAATAGTGTGTTGCCGTGATGACTTGGGCAATTGAAGGGAAAGTTAAAATCTCTGCCTTGCCTGGCTGGATGTGCTCAATTGAACTTTCACAGTAAACGGCATTAGGGCTGAGAGTCAGGGAACTCAGTCAGAAATCTGTGAACTGCTGGAGGGCAGCTAGAAGCCGACTAGAGTAGCTGTTTAGTCAACTTAATCAAAAACTCAGTGTACAAACATCTCAGCCCGAGACCGGGGTTTGTAAGTTAACTTTTGCAGCACAACCAGGGGTATGCTGTCCAGGGCGATCCACAGGAGGGTGCTAGCTCCCTTATATTTATGTCCTTCAGTGACCTGCTGTAACAATCTTTTTGTGAATTGGTAGAGAAAATAGTGGGAGGTGTCCCTGCCCATGGCAGGGGGTGGAACTTGATGATCTTTAAGGTCCCTTCCAACCCAAACCATTCAGTGATTCTGTGAAGATGAGCTATGTCCTGCTCAGCCCAGTGGGGTTTCTAAGCACCCACTAAATGTCTAGAAGTTTATAGACCTGAGGAAATGAAAAACGTTTTGTTAGGTTGGACCAAGGGGCTCTATTTGTTTCACTATGAAGTATTCAGGGTACCTAGTCGGATTCCTTGGTTTGATGGTGGGGCTGTTTCCTTTATCTGCATGTTTGTGCTTTTTTGACTGTTTAACTTTCTGTTCGTTTTGGTAGTTTGACATCTCGGACCTGGTGCGCACGATGCGGCTGCAGCGGCACGGGATGGTTCAGACGGAGGTGAGTCTGACCTCTCCAGGTATGCAGGAAAGGAAAGACACTGCAATGCGAGCTCTGATGGGCCGGGAGACTTTAATGCATGCAGTGATCGTCTTTGTGCCCTCTAATGCAGCGATTGTGTCATGAGACTCAAATGAGGTGTATACTAGTGAGTAGCAGTGCAATTTCTAACACGTTGTGCTGGTTTGATCTGGTTTTTTAAACAACAAAAAAATGTTGGGAGTTTCTTCAAAAGCATGTGTTGTAGAGGTCATCACCTGAGCTTTTTTAGCTAAAAATTGCATTACAAACTGAAAAGAAGGCCTAACTGTAGTTGCTATGAATCACTGATAATAGCAAAGATGTCTTGAAATATCTCCTTTGGGGAGATATTCAACCAGAAGTTTAATGAATGTGTTAGGAGCAATCTAGATGTAGAGTTAATTAACTTTTCCATAGAGATGGACATCGTAAGGTCTTGTTAAAATCTGCACTGTTTCTTTGAATGTAAAGAATCTGTCAAATCATAGAGTTAAAAAAAATAAAATCAAAATCAAAACCAAACAAAAACCACCAGCCAACCACCAAACCAAAAAACCCCAAACCACAAACATATCATCCCCACCTTGCACCCCAAAACATGTGTTAGCCCCAACACCTGTGTCACTGAGATGAAGATCAGAAGTTGCACTGTCTTCTGAATTCTCTATTAGTTGACACTGATGCAAGACCTTAACGTTCACTCGCTGTCTTCTTTTCTACTCTTGTAAAGCACTTATTTTGTTTGAGGTGGTTTTGGTGTGAAAGGAGGATAGATGTCCCATAGAAAATACACCTTTAGATACAGGCGGGGGAGTGCCTGGATGTGTCTTGAGGTTGCGTATTTCTCCACTGTGGGTTTTTTTATTTGTTTGGTTTTATATAACTGTAGAAATAGTATTGAAATCAAGTGCTGTGCACCTGTGAAGTGCAGGTGCCAGTGAATTGCTTGGGTGGTGCAAGCATTTTTCACGTGTTCTGTGATTTCCTTTCCTTTGCAGGATCAGTACATTTTCTGCTATCAAGTTGTCCTTTATGTGCTGAACTACCTCCAACATCAAGAACAACAGAGAGGCAAATAAAATACTGAAGCAGAAGTGCTTTTAAAATAAGGAAGCAAGGAGGTCTAGAGGCTGTCGCATGTTTTCGTTCTTCTGACAATAGTTTTCCAGTCCCTTTCTTCAGTTGCTGTCAAATTTCTTTTCTTGAAAGTCTCCATCATTCCAACTAAGGTATATAGTTATAAAGGAAAGGAATAGCTCATAGAATACCACTATTGTGTTCAGCCTCATGGACATCTATGTGAGATTTTTGTATAACAGTAAATACTATTTAATAAAGCTGCATTTTTTGCAGCTTCCTTAATATGTGATAAAGTACTGAAATAAAAATATTTTAATTAAAAAAAAAAAAGATAAGAAGAAGAAAAAGTAATCTTATGATCATAACTCCTGCAGTTCTGCAACTGTTTTGGGGTATTTGTTTCTGAGGGGATGGGGGAGTGGGAGGGATGAAGCAGTATTTTTATCCTGGGAAACTTTATTACAAAGACATTTTATTAGTCTCTTTTAAAAGCTTGTTTATGGCACAGAATTTTTGCCCTTTCGGTACAATTACAGCTATTTTATGGAAGGTATCTTGAAATCGGCATTTGAGCTTTAAGAGATGCCTGTTAGCATAAGGATAGTAGTGGATGTTTACTGTAAGTATCATGGTTAATAATGTTTACTTCATAGAGTTTCATGTATATATTTATATACTTTTACAAAAAAAAAGCTGAATTATCAGGTGTCTAACCTTATAACTGATTAGGCATCTCCACTCTGTAAATAAAAAATACACTTCAAGTACACGGATCAGTGGGTCTCGGTATTTTTGTGTCCTTGTGACTGATTTTTCTTGGCCCTTTATGGCATTCTTCACTGTGGTTGCTGCACTTCTTAAGAAATTTGCCACAAAAGGGCTCTGCACATTTTAAATTTTCAGTGTCCTTGTGTTCTTCAGTGTCCCTTTGAGAAAAGCTGCAGAACCGGGGGTTCCTGTCCAGAGAGTTTCCACACTGCGGTGAAAGGAAGACAATCTCTTCCCTCTGTCCTTTTTTTTCAGCAGTGAGACCCATATCACATTTTTTGGGGTGTATTTGCACTTGGATGCTCTGGCAGTGATCTGACAACAATGGGATCTACTCTGCTTAAAGCCACCAGGTTTGAGGTGGGAGGCAGGACGTGGGGTTCTAAGAGGTGTTTTAGTGAGATTGTAAACAGTCAAAACTGTTCTGAAAAGAAACCTTCATTTGATGCTGTGTGGGAACCTTGGATGATGAACAGCTGCCATCGGCCAGCATGGGACCGTGGCAGGGTGTGAGCAGTGTCCCTGTCCCAGCTGTCCTTGCCAGAACGGACGCGTGTCACTTGTGCTGTCAGGAAGGAGATGAGGACTAACTTGACAGCGTTCTGCATTGCAAGGGTGGACGTGGTTCAGAAGCCTGTGATTACCCAAGGTTTTCACTCTTCAAAATAGTAGCTGACAGTGTTCTGGTGTCCCAAAACTGAACCCATCACTGTCTTTCTTGTTTAATGGTATTCTAGCTAGCAATAGCATGAGTTCAAAACAAAAAGAGCTTTTTTTTACTCATCACGGTAATACTATGATTTTTATTCCCTCCAGCATACCAGCACAGTTGGAAAATTGTGCCTTTCTCAGTGCAGTGTAGTCTGAGGAAGGAAAATGAATTCTGTATAGATAGAAGCAGAGGCAAATTGACAATACATCTGTATGAAAGAGCTTTAAAGTGAAGACAGAAGATTTTTCAGGACTACAGTTATCAACAGGCAAAGTAAGTAAATGCAGCTAGGTGGTACGCTGCTGCTGCTGTTGTAACATAAATAGTGAGTTTGGAGGATTTGGGTATGTCTGGTTTTTAGAAACAAAGAAATGGTTATGGTACCTAGACAGTATGGTTAAGGCGATTTAATTCTTCCTTTAGATGTTTTCAGATACATGCCAAACAATGTAGAAACAGGAACTGATTTTTGTATAGAATGCTACGTGAAGCCCACTTTGGTTTTGGGCAAACAGTTTGCATCAGGTTACAGCCTATGGAAAATGTAAATCAGTACAAGATTCCAGGATTCGCTGCTCGTCCTCACAGGTACGAAGCTCTGTGCTATGGTGTATTGTACCCAGCTTCCTTTTAATGATGGGCTCATAGAAAAGCAGAGGATGGTTAACTTGACCTAACCTCCCCTCTCCCAGAAAAAGGAAAGACCCTCCCCAGACAGTCTTTTCAGTTTCTCAGATGATTCCCCTTGGAAGGTGAGCACGTGGTTAGCGAACAAATAGACCTGTCTGTTCACCCTGCTGATGTTCAGGATTTGGGTAAGACCCCACCCCCAGCAGGCGAGCTGGGAAACCCAGCTATCCGCACTCACTTATTGACTATTTTAACTATTTTTAACTCTTTTTGGGAAACTGGGGGTCTTGTGGAGCAAAGCATTCTTGTCTGGACAAAAAAAAAAAAAAAAAAAAAAAAAAAAAAAAAAGAAAAAAAAAAGGATAAATATGACCCTTCTACATCTGCCTTCAGTCTGTTTGATCCATTTCTTTCCATCCGAAGCTGTCCTCCCACTACCATCGGCATGTAGCTGAAAACCAGGTCACGCTGGATTAATACAGAGTTCCTACACTGAAGTTTTCTTGGCCAAGTTCCTCATTACCCCACTTTATGATGAAACAGATGGGCCCCAAAGCGTTCAGGTGTTCCTAACAATTGATATATGGTGAAAGGTGGCACTGGCCTCTTTGGAGAAGTGGTCTGAATTGCTGTGGGTTTTTGTCTCAGCCTTGAGGAACTGGATATCTAATAAAGATGGAGTGCTCCCTGGTTTAATACTTGCTGAGGACACTGGGTGGGGGTGTCTGCTAAGCAGGTGGCACTTGCCATCCGTGACACTGGATGTGCTTGGTTGGGTTGAAATAGACCCCACAGCTCACCACTTGCTACAGGAAAATGGACGTGCCGATGTGGTGTGATTGCTTACGCTTGGTTTCTACGGGGAACCAGGTTGGAAACATACACCAATACTTATCTTTTCCTCCACAGGATTATGCTACCTAAAACCTTTATGCCCCTTTTGAGGAAATTAGAAGAAAAAGTACTGAGAAGCTAGTTCCTTGAATGGAAAAAATAGTGTGCTTTCTTAGTAGGGTGACTATTATATGATTTTCAGAGAAAAAAAAAATTCTTGAGTGGTTTCTTTTTTTTTTATTTTTTTCCTTCCCCCTCTTTTTTAGAACTGTGATGGCTTGCTGAGTAAGCAACCAGGCCATGCTCCAGCTGAAAGGGCTCCTCTTTACAGGTATCTGATTTTCGAAGTTTACCAGACTAAGAAAAAAAAAAAAACAACCCTGATATGATTCTAATTAAAGAACTGTCAGGATGCTTTTTTGCTTCCAACCAGAATTAGCTGGCAGAAGCATATACGCTTTGCTACATAAGCAGCCCTGTGCCGTTTGTAGTTTACCTTCCCTTTGTTTTTCTTGCTGGCTTTTGCCTGTGCAAGAGAAGGTCTACGAAGGAGGGATTCCAGTTGCTCCCTGGAGACTATTTTGAGGGCTCGTTACTGTTTCTCCTTGAGTGTTTCTAAGCATCCTCTTCCTTTACAACTTACTTCCTTCGAAAACTGGCTCAGTAGCTATCTGGGGGAAATCAGTATTTAAAGCTGAAGAAGTTTCCTGTTTAATGTTTTCCGTTCTCACATGTCCAGTGTTTTGCAGGAGGATCCTGAAAGGTGGTAGGAGAAGACCGGAGTGTCTCCTTGAAGTAGCTGGAAGCAGGCTCCTAACCAGGGTGTGGGGCTGTGTTTCGGTTAAAGCCCTTGGACACCACCCTCTTGTGGGGCAAGCCCAGGCAGAGGCCCACTCTCTTGGGTCTTCAGGTGATTCTGCAGCTGCAAAAAGCCTGCAGTCTGTGTGCTGAGGTGGGATTTCGGAGGACAATGAAAGATGACATGGGAGAGATCTTGGGAGGTGGACACGGTGCATCTGAAAAGAAAGCACAAGATAACGGCTGGGCCAGGATAAGTAGTGCATATGATTAGCAGTGTAGAAGAAAATTTTAGTTTAAGGTTTGAAGGTTCAAAAATGGTTGACTTGCAAGTGGTAAAATGCTTACAAAGTGCTTCTGACTTTCCTCCATGTTAAAAAACCAAAACAAAAAACCAAAAAACCCCAACAAAGCAGCTTGGCCCCTTGTGTATGCCAACAACTTCTTGGTTCATGTCTTCTCAGTATATCTCACATCAACTGACCCCCTTTTAATAGGTGTGGTATCTGGTGATGTCTTTTCTGCGGTGTCCAAGAGGGGCAGAAACACATGAGCTGAGTGGATGGCACTTCGCTTACACTCAAGAACGTGAGCCATCATCAGGGTGCAATTTTGAATTTATGACATCCACTGATAATCAAATTGGAACAAAACCAGGGGCAAACATCGGATGGTTTATGGCTGTTAGCATGGCTGAAGCAGAGAATCTGTCCCGTGCTGCCTTCCTGGTGCAGTTGATCTTGGATGGCTGAAGGGTGAACTTGGGGAAATGTTCATCATTTAAGTAGCTTTGAGAGGACAGCGCAGCAAGGGCTCTGAATATTGAAGGCATGGTGAATTCTTTGGAGTTGCTGTGGTGTATTTCTTCATTTTACATGTAATACGAGTGTGTCTGATGTAATCCAGCAGTTATTTTCCCGTAAAGTGTGAAAAAATCGCATGTACATGTTGACTGAAGAGGAGAAGAAATGCACTAAGGAAAAGAAAAACAGCAGTGTGACCAGAGAAATGCTTGATACACAGCTATATACAGTACACAGCTATATACAGTACGTCTCCAGTGCTGAATGTAGGCTTTTTGTCTAGAAGTTGAAACAGCAAATCAATGCATTCTGCTCTGTAATGGTTCAAAGTCAAGCCTGACTGAAAGCAGAAGAAAGCAAATAAACCCAGCAACAATGAGAAGTGGTCTGCATTTGTCCGGATGTAAATCAAAGATGCTGTCAGATATAAGGGTCTGTAGAAAAAAACGCACCT